TGTCATATGGGGCCATTTTTACCGGGACCATTTTTTCCGGGGCCATTATTTCCGGGGCCATTTTTTCCGGGGCCATTTTTTCTGGGGCCATTCTTACCTACATTCCCACCAGACATCCACTTATTCCCTACCACCAGAATTGACCTAGATTAGTTAATGAGTTAACCTGATGAAACTTACTGTGTAAGATGTTCATTGTATAAAGTTATTATGAATGGCCACCGTCAGACAATTCTGATGGTGGTGCACGGTGACCCCCCCCCCCAAGCCCATGGCTTAATTGATCTTTCAAGAAATACCAAACATAATTTTAAGTCCTTCGAATTTAATAAAAAAATTTACATCCGTTTTAAAAGTATGGTATATTGCAACTTGAATTTCCAAAAATTGGATAAAACTCGATAATTCCAATTTTAACAGATATTAATTAAGGAATGATGGAGGATTATAATAAACTAAGTCATTTTAGAGTTAACGAGGGTTAACTATTCAAAAATTCAATCCAGAATCAGAGTAATTTTCAGTTTTACGCTGCCTTAGCTTTATAGTAAAACAAATCGATCTTTAGACAAAATTATAATGAACACACAATGAATGAATGAATACAGAAACATAAATATTTTGCGGAATATAAATATAATAACATACTGTTATATATACACATAATAACATACTAAAAGTCCGAAAAATCTAATCAGGGGAACATTGTTTATTTTAAAGATATTTAATGGGTTAAAATCAAACGCTTTATCGCACAACTGCTGTGCTGGATGGAGCGTATAAACGCATGTCCTTGCCAAGTTGTTGCTAATGAAAAAATGTGAATTAAAGGGTAAGGGCCTAATACGCCCGCGCGCGATCCAAAGGCATACATTGGTTTGTCACGTCAAAGGGATCTGTTGCATATAGTGGTGGGGTGTACCCACCAGACATCCACTTATTCCCTACCACCAGAATTGACCTAGATTAGTTAATGAGTTAACCTGATGAAACTTACTGTGTAAGATGTTCATTGTATAAAGTTAAACATATGTTTTTTGTATAAAGTTAAACATATGTTTTCCCAATTTCAGTTAAGCCAGGCACTTATTGTGCCCGACCATCGTCAGCCGACGCGATTCTATGGGGAACGATCCGTTAAGACTGCCACCGACAATCAGCAGGCAGCATGGTGTAGCGTCATCTATCGCTCACAGGGAGCGAAGTTAGCTTCGTCGTACCACGCAGTGGCAGTGAGTGCCCTGCATTATACTTATTGGATTAGCAGATAGTTTAATAATAATGTCGGTCGGTCGGTCGGTCGGTCATTCTGTCAGTCGGTTGGTCTGTCGGTCTGTCTTATATATCATACATTGTCAGAACTGGAGGCCGTCAGGGGGTCCTGACACCCCCGACGCCCTCCTGGGGGATGAAATAATAAAAACAAATTTCTAGACTTACTTTTTTCAGGACCCGTGAGCTGATTTTTTTTTTTTTTTTTTTTGTTACAATGGGAAAATTAGAAGTCGGGAAATCTATGAATCAAAATTTTCCCGGGGGAGGACCCCACCCCTTCTCTTTTTTGGTTTTTTTTTTTGTAACATTCTGACCCCCTCCCCCGTAAATTTCAACCTAGATCCGCCGCTGATCTTATTATATATAAAGTAAACAGCCAAAGAGAAATGCTTCCCTTTGGTAATAGCCCTTCGTCAGAGCAATATATAAAATACAGGCATATAGCTATATAAAATACATATATATATAATAAAATCGGTGGTTTTGTAGTTATAGCGTTCACCTTGACAGCAAGAGGTCACAAGTTCGATTCCCGTCGGAGGTAATTTATCTCATAATTTATTTATAGAACAATATTCATTGAGGACTATACTGTGCGATGGCAAACAACAAACAGGCTTCAAACGAAATGCAGTGCTGTTGATAATAATGTAAAGAAGTAAATAGTTTAAAGCTGGTAACCTCGATTATATGTTCCCCTTTGATATAAGATTTCATACTATATTCTACATTAGCTGGCGATAGTAGTTACATTAGCTGTGAGGCAATTTTCGTTACTACATTAGCTGTTGGTGTTTCTACGTTAGCGGGGAGATTTACTACATCAGCTGTGGAGTGTGCTACATTAACGGTTGTTACTAAATTAGCTGTTGTTTTTCTACATTAGCGGTTGTAACAAATGTAATTTGTACAAAATATTTGATGATTAACCAACATTATTAAAACATAAACACAACATAAACACCAGTGAATAAAGATTTCTGTTGTGTTTGCATGTGGTAAGGTAAAATGTCTTCAATGTAAGGTAAATGTAGTGCCGTTTGAACGGGGAATAAGCTGTTAGCCTCGGCATTGTGTGTAGGATGGCCAGTTCTTTTCTATGCCGCATTTTAACTTCCCCAGTATATATCTATTAAATACCCATTATAGGCTACTCCTGGGTGGAGAGAGACGGACGCAGGTAAAGGGCCTTGTCCAAAATGCACATAGCGAAGTTCCGAACCCCTGACCTCGAGTTTGATAGACCGAAACGCAACCGCTGGGCCAACCTCTCCCACAAAATGTCCTTTGGTAAGCGAATTCATGAGTTGCTATATTATAAAAGAACTGATGTACATTACCTATAAATCATTTGTTATTGCAGATCGCATGGCTGCTGTCTATCCTTTCTTGGGCATTGTTACTGAGTGTACAATCCTAATTATTGTGATCCTGATTCAGGAGAAATGTAGTGAAGACAGTTATGACGAATGTGATGCATTGTAAGTATGGTAAACCCACTGCCTACGCCTCCTGCCTGATCAACATTAGTGAATTATTTCCTGTAGTTTATTCATTTTTGTGTTTTCTGTTCCTTCTTTCTTTTCTAGCTGCTTTCAGTCCTCAATGCTGTCTCCCTTATTATATATATATATATATTCTGTAGAAAGAATGCTTCATTTTAATTAAACTAATTGCCTGTTACGTATTGTTTTGTTTTTTTCAGAAACAAGAACGACGAAAAAGCTGAACTTTTAGAAAAAGGAAACTTAAAATAAATCAAAAGTATATCAATCCTGTAAGAATTATTTTGAAAGTTATGGCAATAAATTGCAATATATTATTTCTAGACATGAAAACTAATTAGTTTCCATTTACTGTGAAAGTCAACATAGTCTTGTTTATTCGTTTTCATGTTACTGTGAAAGACAAACTTAAAGAAGTTTCGTAGGAGGTTTGTTGCTTTTAGTCTGAAAAAAATCCTAATAGATTCTCGTAATTTCTTCTTTTATAAATTGTATTAACTCTAAAATCCTTCGCTTCGCACAGTTTTTTTTTTATAACAACAACTATAGGTAGGTTTTTCTTTTTTAATCAAGTACATTAAATTTGATGAGGGGATGAAATTCCACAAATCCCACCTCAGTCACACGTCGGGAACATATGCAAATTAGCTAAAATATGCAAATTAGGTTGAAATAGGGTTCTCATATCTTGGCAGTCGCAGAGAGTTGCTTCCTGTTAATTATGCAAATTAAGGAAGAAAATATGAGGTACCATATCTTCGCAACCGCTGGTCGAAGGGAGTTTCTTTTTCAAATTATCCGGAACATGTATGTTTCTATCCGCTCTAATAGAAAATTTGCTAATTTTCTAAGGAAGAAAATATGAGGTACCATATCTTCGCAACCGCTGGTCACAGGGAGTTTCTTTTTCAAATTATCCGGAACATGTATGTTTCTATCCGCTCTAATAGAAAATTTGCCATAAAAATTACCGGAAATGCTACAACTCACCTTTGACCTTATATTCACTGAATTCGCATATTTCTGTGACTATTGTCAGTAGAAACATGCATGCTTTTCATTATATGAATAAAAGGGATGAAATTCCACAAGTTACACCTCTGTCACACGTCAGGAGCATTAAACAAATTAACTATGTTAATTAGGTGTGAAATTAGGGGTCCTGTATCTTGGCAACAGCAAATAACAGACGTGCTAAAACTGATCTTTGACCCTATATTCACAGAATTTGCATACTGTATATCTCTGAGACTAATGTCTGTAGAAACCTAATGTATTGTTGAATTTATTCAAATTCATGTTTCTTTCATTTTATTAAAGAGGATTAATATCTTAAACATTATCCTTGTCACATGTCCCGTTTTTGTATATAAAATGTACGTCCTGAGCTTAATTATGCCAGTTAGAGATGAAAATATAGGGTTCTCATATCTTGAAAACTGCTGGTGTCAAGTAGTTGCTTTCTTTTTTTAGCATTTTAGAAGGTGCATGTTTCAATTTGCTTCAGTGTATGTATGCACCAGTATATAATTCAGGTTTTGATTCACTGTACAGTATATAATATGGGATGAAAGTCTAGAAATCATACCTTGGCCACTTGCACTCTTTATATGTAGTTTTACCTAAATATGCAAATTAAAAGCAGAAATCGTTGCTTTCCTTTTTTGCAATTGTTCAGAGCAGCATGGAGAAATGCAATATTTGATCATTTTGGAATATATTTATTATTCTCAAAATAATTATCAAATAATTATTTTTCTGAAAATATTATTTGATGTTCCCTGTAATAAGACTACCAACGCCCTCGTTTATAACCAGCTCCTCGCTCTACATTTTCGTGTAACTCCATGACTACTTGACATTGGTTTCAAATTAATTAGAAAGTATGCCTATAATTTATATAATATATTTTTAAACTAGAAAAGTTATCACGTAAAATTATCAGAACTCAAACATAATATGACCCATGTTTCCCATAACTACCGATCATCCTAAGTTTAAAAATCTGTTGAATATTAAAATCTGCGGTAGATGGTTTAACTTTAAATTTATGTAATATGAAACAATGATTTATAAGTGTATTTTAATGATCAGTATATTTTAACTTGAAAGTTATTATGTAATACAAAAAGGCTTGCTTGTGAAGAACGCACTGCAAACACCTGATCAAGCTCTTTCATCGACTTCTCGCGAAAGCCTTTTTCAGAAAAAATGTTATTACATTTATCATTAATGACTATATCTTCACATAAAAATTTTATGTGACCAGGATGAAGACCGATCTCTATGGGTAATGTAAGGTCAAAGCTCCATTGCAGCATTTTCAATTTTAATTTGTATATTTTAGAGCGAATTTGGATATGAATAGTGCATTTGATTATAATGTGATTATAGATTTCTATCCTTGTTATTATTATATTTTTAAAAAAAACATTGAATAATTTGACATAAGTCGCAGAGACGCAATCAGTAAATATCAGGTCAAAGGTGAATTCTATCATTTGGTGAAGAGTTTCTACTAGAGCCAATAAAACATACATATTTCGTACAATTTAAAAAAGAAAGCAACTCCCTGTGACCAGCTATTGTCAAGATATAGGAACCTTTTTCATTCCTAATTTGCATATTTTAAAGCTCATTTGCATATGAACAGTACATGTGACCATGGTGTGATTATAGATTTCCATCTCTTCTATTTGAAAAGAAACATGTGTTTAAATAATTTAAGACCTAAATCAAGATTCTACGGAAAGTAGTCACAGAGATATGCAAATTTGGTGATTATAAGGTCAAAGGTCAATTTTAGCATTTCCGTTCATTTTTGTGGCAAATGTTCCATTACAGCAAATAGAAATATGCATATTCCGTACAATCTGAAAAAGAAAGCAACTCTAAGTGACTTGCCAAAATATGAGAACCTTTTATTTTCTAATTTGCATGTTTTAGAGCTAATTTGCATATGAACAGTACATTTGACCATAGTGTGATTATAAATGTTCATCCCTTTTATTTATATAATGCAAATAAAGATAAATTTGAATGATTTGAGACCCAAAAATTTTTTTATGTACATTAGCGACAGAGATATGCAAATTCAATGAATATATGGTCACAGGTCAATTGTAGTATTTCCGTTCATTTTATGGGCAAATATTCCATTAGAGCAAATAGAAACATGCATAATTTGAAAAAGAAAGCAACTCTCTGCGACCATCGGTTGCCAAGATATGAGACTCATATATTTTCAACCTAATTTGCATATTTTAGCTAATATGCATATGTTCCCGATGTGTGAGCGATTTGTGATTTGTGGAATTTCATCCCCTCATCATATGTACTTGATTAAAAAAGAAAAACCTTTGTATGCATTTGTTTGACTTTTGGCTATTTTTTTTAGCTAGATTGCCTAGCCTAAAATAGTACTTTCAAAATACAAATTTTTATCCCGAAAAGCCTACATGTACTTAATGTAAAATATAAAGTGTCTTGCCTAAGGAAACACATTTAATGGATCTTGGTAGGATATATTTTTACAAGTGCTATTAGTGGCGTATCTAGGTGAGGCTAAAGAAACTAGCTCCCTCAGCTGTCGCTCCCCTCCCCCCACCACCATTACAATAGATTGAAGCAAGCTCAAGTAGTTAAAAACACCTCATATCACCATATTTTGCGATGTGACACCCTCTCACTTATATCATCTTCGCACCCTCCTCAGCTCAACATTTTAAGACTTAGATATGCCACTGAGTGGTAGAGAATATTCATTCCCATAGATAATGGCTAGAATACATAATAATACATAAATCTCACTACTGCATATACTAACTGTAAATAAAACTGTATTTCTCTTTTATTTAAGAACATTGGCCATATGTGAATCTAGTTACCTTCAATTGAAGGCACAGAATTTTAAAAATATCTTACTGCAATTATTTGTCTTTTTTAAGTAGGCTAACGTCTGAAAGGGGGTTGTCACAGACGCAAAGTTATAATGGTAGTATTGATTTGATATAACATAGATACATAATCAAATTAACATTTTTGCTGTTTGTAATTTTCATGTCTGGAAAATGACATGCTGTAAATTAAGTTTGATATATTTACATATATTTTGGTGTATGACTATTCTAATTCTAAGGAAATGTGTGATTACGTTGGAAATAAAAATAATCTGGGATTTCATCGAACTTGTAACTGATTTACTCTGTTTTAAATATATATCCTGATCGGTGAAAATTCAAAAAATGTAAATGTATGATGATGACGATGGTCATAAGGTTTTGATGATCATATGATTTTGAGATGTTATGCTGAAAAAGTTTAAAAATTACAATACACATAACATTTGGAAGTTGTAACGTTTTAATCGAAATGGAGAAGAAAGGCAAATAATGGAACAAATAACAGCAAACGGATATATTGCAATAGTCAATGCTTTATTAGAAATATAGGATATTGAAAATTGTGATGGAGGTAGATGGATTGGATTGGATTTATTCGGTGTAAACACTAAGCTATATATTTAACCAAGTAAAATTAAAGGAACAAAATTGCTTGATAGCGTAAAAATGGGAAATGGATATTATGAGCATGGCCGGCGGAACCGGGGGGGGGGCCGCCC